CCAAGCCTTCAGGAACTCTGCTTGAAACCTCTTTTTCGTCATCATCTTCGGTGTTAGAGGTAAGTTATGTAAATCAAGGTACATGTTTTAAAAGTCATTGAACATTCTTATACTAACGTGAACTTCGTTGCTATTTCAGGTGGTTGATGGTAAACTGTCGTACAACTACAAAGGGCTGTTAGTTCTCCAATTGCCTCACATAGCCGTGAATGATACCCAGTGGCATCACATCGAGATCCTCTGGACAGATTCTTCCCTTAACATAACAATGGACTACATCTACAAAGTTTCTGCAGATGCATCCAGTGGAAAAGACCTTGGAGTTGTCAGACAGTTTTTCATGGGAGCGAGGAAGAATTCTACCAAGTCTGCAGTGTATGGTGGATTTAGAGGCTGTATACAAGGTATGCTGTTCTAAACAAATTCCTCTAGTTAAACTGTTAGGCTTATGTTTCTGTAGCCTGTTCTAGGTATTAAATTAGTAGCAATGCACTGATTTCCCTAAGCTTGGAGGAAAAGATAGTTGTTTATGAGTATAGGTAATAACATGATTTCGAGTGCAATTTGGTGTTAATACGCTCGAGTAAATTTTTCAGTACCACAAAATTGCACGAGCTGTAGGGCGAGTGAAGTTTGTAGTCTTTGAAAAATTTATAAGTGCTTATTACACCAAATTGCAAGATAAATCGTGTTATTACTTGTTAGTAATTTACATGAAGAAACATCACAGAAAGGCAAGACAGACTAAACGTTAGGTTTGGAACGTTAGTGTGAGTGCGTATGTGCGTGCGCACGTGCGTGTACGTGTGCGAGCAGGTGCGTACAAGCGCGTGCATGTGTGTTCGTGCGTGCTTGTTTATGTAGTAAGCGTTGGAACTGTGCTTTTGGATTGAGCATGGTAATAGTGGATGTATGAATATTAGGCCATTTCCGACCCCTTTTTCGTGAAAATAGCTTCGTTTGCAAAATAATTTCTTTTCCTATGAGAAGTATCGTATCTGGGCTCGTTTTAAAACAGAGGCTATGGGCCTTTCGGAAATGGTCCAACTCGGTTACCCGTTTATACGAGGAGACACTAACCTCTCTCTTTCCATATCTGTAGGGGTTTTTGTCGGAAGCACTGAGATCAACATGAACTCTGGAGTCAATCACAAAACAGCATCTCGTTGTGAAGAGAAAATGGGAAGCCACTGCTCATCGAACCCTTGTCCAGACTACAGCACGTGCCAAGAGGAATTCGACTCCTACAAATGCATATGTCCCGTAGGTTACGTTGGTAAACACTGCCTGCGCGTATGTTCTCTTAAGCCATGCCGACATGGCAAATGTGAAAGTACAAACCATGGAAAGGGATTCCGATGTGTTTGTCCTCAACAGTACACTGGTAAGTGGAATTTTTTTTCATTTTTTATCTTTTTTTTTTTTTTTCATTTAAAATCATTCCCTATTGGACACATTTTTTTTGCAATTTGTGGGTACCATTTTAATCCGTACAAAGTTGTTATAAATGAAATAAATAAGTAAATAAATAGAATAATAAATGGGTGCGCGTAGATATGGAATTTCCCTTCGAGAGTTTAACTCGGTAGCTCACGAGTGAGATATGGAGTTGAATACGAGAAGAGAAATTTCATATCTACAAGTAACTAGGTATTATTTTGTTTATCACGTAAACACAATAGCCTTTTACTGACAAGAAAAGTCGACTCTATTAATGAATGAAAATAAAAGGATCGACAATCCCCGAATACAAATCGTAAAGTCCGTTGGCGCACTCAAGATGAGAACATGCGTTGAATCACTACAAAAACAAACAATGGGCCTAATTTTCAATATACAAAATTTTCAGTTATTGAATTGGTCCTTACCGACAGAAGAAATCATTCAGGTAACCGGCCAAAATCGGCCTGTGGCAAATCTTCCAGTGGTCAATTTTCGTTCTCAGCCGCGAGAAATGCCATAACCAAAACCACTAAATACGTAACTTTCGGTTTTTCTTTTCGTTTTTTTTTTGGTTTTCTTCCCTTTCTAGGAAAGTTTGAACGTCAC